GGGGCCCCCCCCCCGGGGGGCCCCCCCGGCATGGGGGGCCCCCCGGGCGGGGCCCCCATGGGGGCCCCCTATGCCCTCGGGGTTTGGGGTACTGCCCTGTACGGGCTGGGGGCCCTCGTGGGACTCCCTGGGGGCCCCTGGCTAGAGGGTTTGGGGGGCCCCCGAGTTGGTTGTTTGGTGGGGAGTTTGTTGAGTTTTATTAGTTGTTTGATTTCTTCTTTTTGTCTTTCAAAAAGAATTTTAATTTTTATTTTTTTGTTTTTGATTAATGGAGTGGGCGCTGGCCTTTCCCTCTTCACAGCCAGCACTGTGGCCCTCAGGTGGAGTCTGCAGCAGCAGCAGCAGCAGCAGCAGCAGCAGCAGCAGCCTGCTGCTGCTGCTTCTGGTGTACGTACAGCGCAGCTCGCTGGCCTCTTGAGACCCTCAGCTTTTATGGCGGCCTTTTTGCTGCTGGCGCCTCCAGCAGTCGCCTTTGTGCCCCTCCGTAAACCCTAAACCCTAAACCCTAAACCCTAAATTTTTAATCCTAGGTGGAAAGGCGCAGGATCAGCTGGCTAGAACGATATGCCCTAAACCCTAAACCCTAAACCCTAAACTTTAAACCCGCAAGCGGCGGCAGCCGCGCATGCGTGGCGCTGCTCCCTAATTAGGGTTTAGGGTTTAGGGTTTAGGGTTTAGGGTTTGTGTGCAGGCGGAGATCCGAAATCCACTCCCGAAACCCTCAGAGCTCTTGCTGCTTTTATTTTTGGCCTCCAGGCGTTTGGCTGTCTCCTAATTCAAAACCCTAAATGGTGGTTTACAAACCCTAATTTCGGGTTTGCTGCTTTTCACTATTAACAAGCAAATTAAGATTCTATTCAAGTTAATTATGCGAACTAGTAATTAATAAGTCGTTTTAATTAATTATTAAACTAATTTATCAATTAATTTTAGTTAATCAAGTAGCTAATTAATCAACTATTTAACTGATAGGAGTTGTCTGTGGGCTGCTGCTGCTGCTGCTGCTGCTGCTGCAGGTACACGGAGTCTTCGTTTGTGATAAGTGCTGCTGACAACAGCAGCAGCAAGATAGAGTTGCGTGGGGCCGCAGGTGTCTGTACACCTGAGAGTGTGGGGTCTTGTCTTTCGAATTTATATTTAAGACTTTTATTATCTCCTTTTTGTCTTTTTAGTCCAGAAAATGTTGCAGCAGCGCTTCAGACTCTTTATCTGGGGGGTGCTGCTGCTGCTGCTGCTGCTCCTGCTGCTGCTGCTGCTGCTGCGGGGGTCAGCCTGCCGCTGAAGCAGCTGCTGCGGCGGCCGCGTTTTTGGGTGCTGCTGCTGCTGGGGTGTATAGACACCTTTGCATGCGCCTTGCTGCTGACTCTGTGGCGCCCTTTGCTGCAGCAGCAGCAGCAGCACCAGGCAGCAGCAGCAACAGCAGCAGCAGCAGCAGGGGTGTTGGGACTGCTGGCCCCTGCTTTCTGGGGTTCGTTCCTCAGCAGCAACAGCAGCTATGCTGGTTTGCTGCTGCTGCAGGGGCTGGGGACCGCGGCTTGCTGCTGCGCCGCCGCCGCTGCTGCTGCTGCTGCTGCAGCAGGGTCCCCGCTGCTGGGTGCTGCTGCTGCTGCTCTGTGTCTTTGTTTTGCTGCTGGCATCTTTAGTGTTTTTCCTTCTTTAATTGCTGTTGCATTTGGCCCTCATTACATCTTTGCAAACACTTATTTGTTTTACTTGGCGTTTGCTGCTGCTGCTGCTGCAGCAGCAGCAGCGGGGCAGCTGCTGCTGCCGCAGCGCGGCGGCTGCGAGCTGCTGCTTGCTGCTGCTGCGCTGCTGCTGCTGCTGTCCTTCTTCGCTTTAGCAGCAGCAAAATGTTTAAAACAAAGATGGACTTTTGTTTTAAACTTGCCTTGTGCTTATCTTTTGCTGCTCTCCGGAGACACCAAAAGCGAAGGCAGCGAATCTGGTGGGTCTTCAACTTTTTAATTAATTAATTAATTAATTAATTAATTAATTAAAAAGTCGAAGACTTGTTTAATTTAATTAATTAATTAATTAAATTAAACAATTTCATTAATTTAATTTATTAAATTAATTGATTAATTGGTTTATTATTTGCTTTTTCTTTTTTTATTTATTCGGCTTTTGACTCGTTTTTGCTCGTGTATTTATCGTTATATATGTGTTTATTTATCTATTTAATCAAATAAATAAATAAATAAATAAATAAACAATTTATTTATTTATTTATTTATTTATTATTTATTTATTATTTATTTGTACAGATCGGAGCAGCGAGGGGGATTTGCCGTGTGGGGAGTCTTCTGCGTTATCTGAGGTGTACGTACACCTGAAGCTGCAGCAGCACTTTTTGGGTCTCGTCAGTTCTATTCCTTTTCCTCATTTAAATTCCATTATTCAAATCAACTTGGGCCCTTTTGCAAGTCCTCCCGAAGAACAGAACGCCCCGCAGGTGCTGCTGCTGCTGCTGCTGCTGCTGCTGATCCTGCTGCTGCTGAACATGCTGCTGCTGCTGCTGATCCTGCTGCTGCTGCTGATCCTGCTGCTGCTGATTCTGCTGCTGCTGCTGATCCTGCTGATCTTGCTGCTGCTGATCCTGCTGCTGCTGCTGCTGCTGCCAAGCCGATAGTACTAGTGCTGCTGCTGCTGCTGCTGCTGCTGCTGCTGCTGCTGCTACTGCTACCACTGCTCCTCCTGATGCTGCTGCTACAGCTGCTCCTGCTGCTGCCACGGCTGCTGCTGCTGTTGCTGCTGCAGACACTATTGCTGCTGTTGCTGCTGCTACCACTTCTGCTGCTGCTCGTGCTGCTACTACTTCTGCTGCTGCTCCTGCAGCCGCAGCTGAATATAATATACATATGTATTTATTTATTTATATTAATTTAAATTATTTTTTATTTATTTATTTCAATTTGAATAAAATATTATTTGCAAACAAAACAACTTGGCAAAAGCTGCTGCAGCGCTGAACGAGCTGCTGCAGCGCTGAACGAGGTACTCTCCTAAACCCTAAACCCTAAACCCTAAACCCTAGAGAGGTTTGCATCCAGAAGCGCTGCTGTGAGTGCTTGCGAAGGGTTTAGGGTTTAGGGTTTACGAGTGGTTTGCAGTTTGTTTCATTAGAGGCAAAGAGACGATCCCTAGCAGCTGCAGCAGCTGCTGCTGTTGCTGCTGCTGCTGCTGCATCTAACGGACAAAAAAAGGACAAATAAAACAATCGCGGCGTACATACACCAAAAAACAAACGCCATAGTGAGGCTGCCACGGCACTGCAGCAGCAGCAGCAGCAGCTGCTGCTGCCGCCGCAGCAGCTGCTGCTCCTGCTGCCGCTGCAGCAGCAGCAGCTGCTGCTCCTGCCGCCGCTGCAGCAGCAGCAGCTGCTGCTCCTGCTGCCGCTGCAGCAGCAGCAGCTGCTGCTCCTGCAGCTGTGCAACTGCCTACGAGGCATCTCAGACACAGTTCAATGAGACCCTGCTGTGCTGCTGCTGCTGCTGCCGCAGCAGCAGCAGCTGCTTCTGCTGCAGCTGCTGCTTCTGCTGCTGCTGCTGCAGCTGCTGCTTCTGCTGCTGCAGCAGACACAATTTAGGTGCGGCCAGGCACCGAGACACTGCTATTTGTTTATCTAGACCTCAAACCTCAAACCCCAAGCCCTAAACCCTAAACCCCAAACCCTAGACCTTAGTTTGACATGAACCAACGGAGGCTCAAAGCACTCCTGCTGCTGCTGCTGCTGCTGCTGCTGCTGCTGTGTCAGTGCCCATGCCTGAAGCTGCTGCTGCTGCTGCCGAAGGGAGCAGCAACAGCAGCAGCAGCACAATCACCGCCCAAACTTGGTGGCTGCTTTGCTGCTGCAGGTGTGGGGCCCCTGAGGGCCGTGCTGCGGGGTATGGCTTGCTGCTGCTGCAGTTGCTGCAGTTGCTGCTGCAGTTGCTGCTGCTGCAGTTGCTGCTGCAGCTGGAACTGCCGCGCCTGCAGCTGGGCCAGCTGCTGCTGCTGCTGCTGCTGCTGCACGCGCTGCTGCAGCTGCAGCCGCTGCTGCTGCTGCTGCAGCTGTTGCTGCTGCAGCTGTTGCTGCTGCAGCTGTTGCTGCTGCAGCTGCTGCGTGGGGTGTGCAGACAGCGGCATCTGCTGAAGGTGGTGCTCCATCGGCTGCGGTAAATTGAACTGCTGCCTTGTCACAAAGAAGCGCTGCTGCTGCTGCTGCTGCTGCTGCTGCTCTGGCTGTTGCTGCAGTTGCTGATGCTGCAGTTGCTGCTGCTGCAGTTGTTGCTGCTGCAGCTGCTGCTGTTGCAGTCGTTGCAGGTTCGTTTCCTTTTCAAGGCTAGCTGCTGCTACGTGCTGGCTCTCTATCGGAAGGGCAACAGCAGCAGCAGCAGCAGCAGCACCATCAGTTGCTGCTGCTGCTGCAGAGCGTTGCAGCTGCTGCTGCGGCGGCTGTTGCTGGCGAGCAAATTGCTGCTTGAAATACTGCTGCGCATGATGTGCTGCAGCAGTCTTGCAGCCTGCAGCAAACCAAAACACAAACTGCTGCCTTTGCTGCTGCTGCTGCTCCTACTGCTGCTGCTGCTGCGGCTGTTGCTGCTGCTGCTGCTGGGCCTACCTGGCAGCGCCGCCTGTGTGCCTTGGAAGGGCCGAGACATGCGAGCAGCAGTTGTGCTGCAGTTCCAGGGCAGCTGGTGCTGCTGCTGCTGCTGCTGCTGTGTTGCTGCTACAGCAGCTGCAGCAAAGCGATCCTGATGAATCCATGTTTCTGCCGCTGGCACCGCAGCTGCCGCTGCTGCTGCTGCTGGGAGCTTCCCGATGGCTGCATGCTGCCTTTGCTGCTGCTTCTGCTGCTGCTTCTGCTGCCGCCTCTTCAACTGCTGCTGCAGCACCTGCTGCTGCAGCTGCTGCAGCAGCAGCTGCTGCTGCGGCGGCAGCTGCTGCGCCGGCAAAGCTGAAGGCACTGGCAAGAGCCACGGGTGGTGCAGCGCTTCAAACGCTGCAGCAGCAGCAGCAGCAGCAAGAGCAGCAGCAGCAGCAAAAGCAGCAACAGTTCAGAGAGAAATGCCTAGGCCCTCTAAGCCCAGAGGTAGCCAGCTCCAAACCCTCGAACGAAACCCTAAACCCTAAACCCTAAACCCTAGACCAAACAAAACCCTAGCCCGTTTGCATATAGGCCCGCACCCAAACCCTAAACCCTAAACCCTAAACCCTAAGCTGCTTGCACCTAGCCGCAACCCAGCCCAAACCCCAAACCCCAAACCCCAAACCCCAAACCCCAAACCCTAAACCCTAAACCCTAAACCCTAACCAGTTTGCATGCGGGCCTTGGAGTCGAACTCGAGCATGGACTCAATCAAGTCTGCAGCAAGAGGATGCCGCTGCCGCAAAGTTGACAAAAAGGCAGCACCTTGCTTCAGCAGCCGCCGAATGGCTCGCCCGCTCAGCTGCTGCTGCTGCTGCTGCTGCTGCTGCTGCTGCTGCTGCTGCTGGGTGGGGGGCTGCGGCTGCGGCGGCTGCTGCTGCTGCGGGGCGTGCGGGGCGCCCGCGGGCAGCGCTGCGGCTGCCGCGGCGGGGACCCCTCCCGCTGCTGCTGCTGCTGCTGCTGCTGCCGGGTCCTCAGTTGCTGCTGCTGCTGCTGCTGCTGCTGTGCTGCTGCTGATGCTGTTCACGTCAAAAGGAAAATGGCCATCCAGCAGCACATAAAGAATTACCCCCAAACTCCAAACGTCGGAAGCGCGGCTGTACTGGCCCGTGAAACACTCGGGGGCCTGCGCAAACCCTAAACCCTAAACCCTAAACCCTAAACCCTAAACCCTAAACCCTAGAGGCTAAGCCGTCGGAGAATTGGCAAACGAACGCCGCAGGCGCAAACCCTAAACCCTAAACCCTCACCATATATTCTCTCGTGCCTACGACAGCGACCTCCGTCTTGCTGCCGCTGCTGCTGCTGCTGCTGCTGCTGCTGCTGCTGCTGTCCAGCAGCAAACACATGTCGAAATCCAAAAGGGCCAAATCGCCTCGCGCGCCTTCGGCCCCTTTGAAGATCACATTGTCCAGTTTTATGTCTCTGTGCAATATCTGAAAATAAATTAAAAATAATAAATAAATAAATAAATAAGTATAAAAAAATAAATAATAATAAATAAATAATAATGAATGGGTGGGAAATAAATTGATTTGGAGTTAAACGAAAAGAAAGAAGTTCGTTTGGAGCAGGGGAAGTTTCAAGGTGTCCGCAAACCCTAAACCCTAAACCCTAAACCCTAAACCCTAGAATCCTCTACGCAAGTATAACCAAACCCTAAACCCTAAACCCTAAACCCTACGTCAAAGGAGTGGAGGAAGTTGACAGCCAAAAGGAGCTGCTGCATCAGCCGCTGGCAAGAAGAGGTGGAAATGCCCCCTGAGGAAAATAAAAAACAAATAAATAAATAAATAAATAAACAAATAAATAAATAAATAAATAATGGTGTAATAATAAATAAATAAAATGAAAATTAAATGATTATTCAAGTGGGGAGGAGGAAGGCGAGAGCAAAAGCTGAAGAACACAAGAAACCACCAAACCCTAAACCCTAGACCCCAAACCCTAAACCCTAAACCCTAAATCCTAAACCCTAAACCCTAACCTGGTGGGTGCTTCAAGACATAATCAACCAGGTCCTTTCCTTCGCACAACTCCATAACCTGCACAGAAACCCTAAACCCTAAACCCTAAACCCTAAACCCTAAACCCTAGTCGTAAGCTGGGGAATTTCAACAGCACCAGCAGCAGCAGCTGACCAGCAGTTTAGCAGCAGCATCATCATCAACAGCAAAAGCAGCAGCAGCAGCAAGCGCAGCAGCAGCAGCAGGGGTAACAATGGCAGCAGCAGCAACAAAACCACCATCATCATCCTTGTCAACAGCAGCAGCAAAACCACCATCACCATGACTGCCAAGAGCAGCAGCAGCAAAAGGAGCAGCAGCAGCAGCAGCAGCAACAAAACCATCACCACCATGATTGTCATCAACAGCAGCAGCAGCTACAGCAGCAGCAGCAGCAAAACCACCACCACCATGATTGTCATCAACAGCAGCAGCAGCTACAGCAGCAGCAAAACCACCACCGCCAGGATCGTCATCAACAGCAGCAGCAGCTACAGCAGCAGCAACAGCAGCAGCAGCAGCAGCAGCAGTTTACAATGTAGAAGTGGGTTTGGCTTTCGAGGAGTTCGACGGGAGGCAGCAGCAAATGTTTGTGGAAAGGAAGTTTGCAAAGAGAAGAATAAACTTGGCGGTAGTAGCTGTCTGTGGCAATAAGTCTAAATAAATAAATAAATAAATAAATAAATAAATAATAAATAATAAATAAGTAATAAATAAATAAATAAATAATTAGTTGGAATAATTAATTGTTTTTGTTTGGTTTTGAAAGCGCGAAAAAAAGAAATTCTGTTTTTGTTTTTTTGTTAGTTTGTGGCATTTGTGCAGTGGCAGGTGGCAATTAAATAATTAAATCATTAATTTAAATAAATAAATAAATAAACTACTTAACTAATTAATTAATAGTAAATAAACATTAATTAACTAATTAATTAATAATAAATAATTAAATTAAATTCATTTAAATAAACAAATCAGGACCAGTTTGAAAGCCGTAGCGCCCAATAACAAAACAAAAAAACAAATTAATTAAATCTCATTAAATTAAATCAAACCAAACAAACCACTAATTAAATGAATTAAATTAAATTAATTGAATTAAATCAATTGAATTTATTAAATTAAATTAATTAAATTAAATTAATTAAATTAATTTAATTAAATACCTTTGTCTTGTTTTGTTAATGTCTTTAACTGCCAGCAAACGCCCTGTCCTTCTGCAGCGCGCTGTATATACACTTGCAGTGCTGCAATTTGCAAAAGATAAAAAATAAAAAATTAATCAAAACAAACAAATGAACAAACAAACAAACAAATAAATAAATAAATAAATAGATAAATAATAAAGGAGGCATTAATGGCAAAAAAGAAATTGGAATTGAGAGTAAAAAGGGCGAAATAACCAGCAAAAATTCACATGCAAACAGAACTCAAACCCTAAACCCTAAACCCTAAACCCTAGACCGTAAACCCTAAACCCTAAACCCTTACTATCCAGATCCCAGCTTTTGTCCCAGTTCGTAGTGATCGTTTATGTTCGAGATCCTCCTGGGCCCCCCCACGGGAGGCGCACTGCTGCTGCTGCTGCTGCTGCTGCTGGCAGGCGCTGCAGCAGCAGCAGCAGCAGCAGCAGCAGCAGGGGGGCAGAGGGCGGGAAGGGCCCGGGCAGCTTTTATTTGGGCCATTTTGCTTCGCAAGGGTTTTCGTTTGGAGGTTCCATAAAGGAGAAGAAAAAGGAATAAAAAGGGTTTAGGAAGGCTGGCTTGAAGGGCTGCAGCTAGCCCCAAACTCTAAACGCTAAACCCTAAAAAAGGGTTTGAAGTGCTACGAACGGGAGGCGCTCCATAGCGGAAGCAGCAAAAGAACAAACCTTAGCAGCAGCAGCAGCAGCAGCAGCAGCTTGAGGAGGCTTTTGTCGCGCCGAGAGAAGGAAAGAAGTGGGTTTGCTGCTGCTTGAAATGAAATGTAATTTGGAAAGAAGGAAGCAGCAAGTTTGCATGCAAGGGCCCCCAAAAGGACAAACAAATCAATTGTGGAGTTAAAAATAAATTCAAATTCAAATTAATTGAAATTCGAAGGGTTTTGGTCCCGAAACAAAAAAATGAATGGATGCGGCGGCGCTGCGGTGTCTAGGCAGCTCTGAGGTGTACGGACAGCTCCGCGCGGCGGGAAGAAACCGAGAAAACGAGGGGAAGTTCACTTTTTAATTTCAACAAATATTAATAAAAATAAATTGGAGAAAAAGGAACGAATTTCCGCTTCGCAAGACAGAGAGCAGCTGTTTTGACACCGCAGAGTCGTCAGTGGCCCGCGGGAGCCGTTGCTGGTTTCCGGAGTTTTTAAAGTTTGCGGAGGCTCTAAATTGGCTTTTTTAGACAAAAAAGAAATTCCCGTTCTTTATTTGCGCCAAATTGCATTTAAAACGTCTTTTTAACCCCAGAAATAGCCGAAAATTCGAAGGCGACTGCACCAGCTGGGCGTGTCTCGGAGGTGTACATACACTGCAGGCTGCACGGGTTAGCGCGGGAAAGAAAAGCGTAATTTAAATTCAATTTTCGCGCCATAAATTCCCGTTTTCGCTTCGTTTTGCAAAATTAAAAAGGCGCTTTCCGCCGCCGCGGCTGCCAGCTTCAAAAAGATGTTTTTGCCACCTTTTCGGTAACACCTGCTTGTCTGGCTGGGTCTCGGGTGTACATACAGCTGGGAGCTCGTCGAGTTTTTTGAACGCGGCCGCGAAATGGGCTCCGTTTGCGTTTAAATTGCGTTTTGAACGCATTTATTTCGAATTTAAATCAAATAATTCCAAATTTAATCCCAGAAACCAACAAAAAGCAGTCAAAAAGCTGCGGAATTGGCAGGACAGAAGCAGAAATAAATCGAGATCCGCAGACACCCGGGAGAAATTCACAAGAAAGAAAAATATTTTCTTGAATTTAATTCTCCCTTTCCAAATGCAACTTTCCCGCTCCTTTCTTTTCAATTTAAATCCACTTTTCATCATTTGTTTGCTCAAATTCAAGAAAGCACTTATTTCCACCTGCAGTCTTTAAAGTTGAAAAAAAAATTAATTTCTTTTTCTCCATTACCCAATTCGAATTCTTATTTGCTGCTGCATGCAGCAGCAAAATAAGAATTCTTATTTGCTGCTGCATGCAGCAGATTTGCAGCTTCTGTTTCTCCTTTCTTTGCTGTTAACATTATTCTCATTATTTTATTTTTTATTACTTCTACTTTATCTATTTTTAAAATAATAAGACTAATAATAATAATAATTATTATTATTATTATTACTACTACTTTAATATTATTGTTGTTTTTGCTGTTGCTGCTGCTGCTGTTACTATTCTTGTTTTAACTTATTACCATTGGGTTTTCTCTTTTCTCCTTTTTAATTACTATTCTTTTATTATTATTATTATTATTATTATTATTATTATTATTATTTTAAAATTATAATTGATTTATTATTACGTTATTATTGTTGCCATTGCTGCAGTTTTGAATGCCATCTGTCTTATAACTGCAACAATTATAAATACCATTTAATTTATTTTTCCGTTTTTATTTTAATGATTGAAACTTAGTTTAAATTTTTTTTCTTTTTATTATTGTCATTAATTTCATTTATTCGTTTCTTTTTTCCTTTTATTTATTTTCTCTGATATTAAATGCCACTTTTTCTTTTTTTCTTCATTTTCGGAATTAAAATAAATAAATTAAAATGCAAAAAAAGAAAAAAGAAGAATTGAAAATGAGCTTAACTTTCGGATTTTTGAATTTGAATTTTCGTCTTTTTGCAACTAAAGAGGAAATCCTTTGGCTGCTGATTTTCTCTTCTTATCTTTTTAGACTTTTAAAGGGAAATAAATTAAATGTGAAATTGAAAATATATTCAAAATAAAAGAAAAGATACCTTTCAGACTTTTAAAAAGAAATAAAATTCAAAAAACAGCGAATTCAAAATAAAACAAAAAGGAACTTTTAATCTTCTGGAAAAGAAATAAAATAAAAAACAAATTCAAAATAGAATAAAAAGGTCTTAAAACTTTTGGAAAAGAAATAAAATTAAAAACAAATTTAAAATAAAAAGCTTTTGATCTCTTTTTGGTGTTTCTGTCTTTTGAGTTAAAAACAAAAAGTCTTCAAATTTCCTTTTTTGATTTTCCTTTTAGCCAGTTTTAAAAGAATAAACCAGCTATCTTGTATTATTTATTATCTATTTATCTATTTATTTATTTATTTATTTATTTATTTATTTTCTGATTTGTTTGTTTTGGGCAAAGTGCGGCAAACAAACAAATGAAGTCCACATCCCGAAGACTTCAATTAGTGTATTTATTTATATATTTGTTTATTTGTTTACCAATTAATTAATTAATTAATTAATTAACTAATTAATTAATTAATTAATTAATTAATTAATCAAATAATTAACTCAGTTGTTTGAACTGCAGTTAAATGAATTTGGTTAACGAATTAATCGTATAAACCCAACTAATCAAACAAATAAACAAACAACAAACAAACAAACAAACAAACAAACAAACAAACAAACAAACAATAAATAATAAATAAATAAATAATAAATAAATAATAAATAAATAATAAATAAATAAACAAATAATTAAATTTGAGTCATGTAGACGGTGACGATGCAGTCGAAGGTTTCGCCGTTGACCTGGAGGCTGCAGAGGCCTGCGTCGAAGCAAAATGAGTTTTAATTTTTTCATTTTTTGTTCATTTTTTGTCCATTTTTCGTCTTTTTTTGAATTTAAAAGTGGAAATAAATGCACGAAACTTCGAGAAACAAATGTAGAAACTCCCGAGCTTCATTTTGATCCATTTAATTCCACTTTTCCCAAAACTTACCATCAGTTTTCGAGTTCCAGAAACACGAAGCCGCCGTGCACAGACCCGCCCCCGCCTTTTGCATCAACACGCAAGTTACTGCACAAAAACAAATTCAATTATTCAAAACCAAATTCAGAAAATCTATTTTTCATTTATTTTTCATCTGTTTTTAATCTATTTTAACTCTACTTTTAATCTATTTTAAGTCTATTTTAAGTCTACTTTTAATCTATTTTAAGTCTACTTTAAATCTACTTTTAATCTATTTTAAGTCTACTTTAAGTTTATTTTAAGGCTATTTTAACTCTGTTTTAAGTCTATTTTAAATCTATTTTAAGTCTATTTTAAATCTATTTGAAGTCTATTTTAAATCTTTTTTTAATCTATTTTTAATCTATTTTTAATCGTTTTTTAAATCTATTTTTAATCTATTTTTAATCTATTTTAAATCCTATTTTAAGTCTCCTTCAAGTCTATTTTTAATCTATTTAATCTCTATTTTAGGTCTATTTTTAATCTATTCTAAATGTGTTTTAGATTCATTTGAAATTTATTTCAAATTCATTTCGCATTTTGAATTCAAATTCATTTCAAACTCACTTCAAATTAATTTCAAATTCATTTTTTTTGCTTTCGTTTTGACCCAATTGCAAAAGTTGAATTTCGACTTCAAATTGAAGAAATGGAATTTAAAATGCATTTTAAAGAATTAAAATAACAAAGAAACTGTTAAAGAATTAAAATAGAGAAGAAATTTTCAAAGAATTAAAATAAAAAAAGAAAATTTTAAAGAATAAAAGAACCTTTTAAAAATAAAAAAAGGACTTTTAAAGAATAAAAGAAACTTTTAAGAATAAAAATAAAAAAGAAACTCATAAAGAATTAAAATGAAAAAAGAAACTTTTAAAGAATACAAATCAAAAAAGAAACATTCAAAGAATAAAAGAAACTTGTAAAGAATAAAAGTAAAAAAGAAACTTATAAAGAATAAAAGAAACCTTCAAAAATAAAAATACAAGAGAAACTTTTGAGAATAAAAATGAAAAGTAAAACAAAAATAAAAAAGAACTTTTTGGGATTCGAAAGTTCCAAAAAGACCTTCAGATAGCAAAAGCAATGGGGAGTGGGGATTTGTTGGAACTTCGTTTGCAAATTGTGTTTAAACTTTATTTTTCTTTTTAAAATAAAAAAGAATTTAAATTCTTTTCAAAACATCAAAAGATCTTTTCGAATTCCCGAAAACTCTTTCCAAACTTCCCGAGTTTTGCTGACCTAAATTCAATTTTGGGCCAAACTAATTCAATTTTTGGCAGAACTAATTCAATTTTTGGCCAAACTAATTCAATTTTGGCCCAATTAATTCAATTTTTGGCCAAACTTATTCAGTTTTTGGCCAAATTAAGTGAATTTTTTGCGAAATTAATTGCATTTTTGGCGAAATCAATTCAATATTTGAACTAAACTAGCTGAATCTTCGAACTGGAGTCCGAAAGAGTTGCAAAACGTGAACCAGGAGTTCGGAAATAGTTCAACTTTGGATCTTTTTGAACTACCCAAGTACTTAAAAGGCTTGTTCAGCTTCGCGAGCTCTTTGAGGCAAAAGTCCGAAATTTGGGAGCAGAATTCTTCGCGTTTGGCGCTGGAGTAAACGGCGCCCCCCAGCACCTGGGTCACGGCCTGATTCGAGGCAAAAGAAGGTCGTTTGAATCCATTTTGCGAGCTTTGAATGGATTTTGGGAAGTGGAAATGGAACTAAAAGGTTTGGAAAGAGAAAAAGGAAGAAAATCGAGAAAAAATGACCCGAAAAGACGCAAAATGGAGCGAGAAACAGGCGAAGAGAGGCGCGGAAAGCGAAAAGATGGAAAGATATTTCGAGGAAAAAAGACGCAAATTGAGACAAAGAGAGATGAAAGAATGCCAAAAAAGAAAAGAATAAAAATGAGTTAAATTCAAAAAGAAATTAAAATCAAAAAATTAAAAAAATGAAATAAAAAGACGGAAAAACCGCAGAGATCCAGCACCCACGCTTTTCGCTATTTCCTGAATTCGCTCGGAGACAAAATCGGACTGCAAATAAAATAAAATAAAATAAAATAAAATAAAATAAAATAAATTAATGAAATTAAATTGAATTCATTAAATTAATTGAATTGAATTAAATTAAATTAAATTAAATTAAATTAAATTAAATTAAATTAAATTAAATTAAATTAATTGAATTGAATTCAATTGAAATAAATCAAAAAGAAAGACAAGGGGAAAACAAGTGGAAAAGAAATGAAGAGAAATAAAAGAAGTACTTGAAAAGGTATTACTCAAGAAATAAAAGTAAATAAAAGAAATAAACAAATAAAAGAAATAAATAAATGAAAAGAAAATAATTGAAAGAAAATAAAATAAAGAAATAAAATTAAATAATAAAGTGGATATAAATAAAGTTAAAGAAATAAAGTAAATTAGGTAAAAGAAATAAAATGAATAAATGCAGAAGTTCAAAAAGAAATTTGAAATAAAGAATTGGAAGAAACAACACTGGAGATGCAGAAACAAACATAAGAAATGAACTTCAATGAGAAGAAATAAAAATTAAAAATTAAATTAAAGTTAAAATTAAAATTAAAATTGAAATTAAAATTGAAATTAAAATTGAAATTGAAGTTGAGATGGAAGAAATAATTGAATGGGAGTTACTTGAATTCGTTTTGAAATGCATTTTTCTCTTTTAGAGCCAAAAAAGATGAAAGTAAAAAAAGAAATAACTAGTTTGTTAGAATTGTTAAATATGAATTAATAGTAATAAATCATTTTAAAATTACAGTTATTTATATATAAATGAAGAATGACAAATTAACATTAAATAATTAATATTAAATAAGTGTTATTTAAACATAAATGAATAATAATAATTTTAAATTTGGTTTTTCTGTCTCAGCTTTAAACTCCCACCTCATCATCTTCGGGAATCATTTTCTCTTTTCGTTTTTCTGAATTTCAAGTTGAAATATTCGCAAATGAAAGTAAAATGGAACAAAATAAAATGAAACAAACAAAATAAAATAAAACAAACAAAACGAGTCCTTTTAATTGATTAATTTGGATTCATTTTGCAAAAGAAAAGACAATGCACCCCAGCTGGCAGTTGTTCGAATTCCCGAGCTGCTTTCTGCGAATCGGGACGAAAAATGAAACGGAAACGAAATTGAAACTATAAATCGAAAAGAAAGTAATTATTCAATTCAAATTCATTGAATTTAATTCAAATTCTTTGAATTTAATTCATATTCTTTGAATTTAATTCAGATTCCTTCAATCAAGTTTGCTTTCCTGCTGCAGCCGGGTCACCTGCAGAAGACCTCCGCGGCGGCCGCCTGAACTTCCAGCTTTTGGAGTTCAAATTTGACTTTTGAATAAAACAGTTTCAAACTTTTGTTTTAAAATTCATTTCGAATTCAATTCAAAAGAAAACCCCGCAGATTCAAAAGTGCGTTGTGGCTGCAGCCGAGACTGGCTGCTGCTGCTGCTGCTGCTGCTGCTGCTGCTGCTCGTGCAGCAGCTCGCAAAGAATGCTGCTGATCTTCAACAAAATTTCAACTTTTGGGGTTAATTTGAATTAATTTGAGTTCATTTTAATAAATTTAAATGAATTCAAATGAATTTGAGCTTTTGTTTCAATTTCAATTTGCCGATTGTTCGCCTCCTCGCAAACTTCAAGGCCGAACGAGCGTCCGCCGCGAACTGGAAGGAGAAAATTTGTGCGTCAATTATTCAAATGAACTTCATTTTGATTTTTCTGTTTTTCCGAGAATTCAAAAAGCCTATTTCAATTCAATTCTGCACGACCAGGTCCAAGTACTTCGTTTCGTTCTTCTCGCGCGTCTCGAAGCATGCAAGACTAAGAACAAGAACTAATAAGCGCACTACGTGAACACTGCAACTTACTTGCAAATCAAAATAAAGTAAAGGCAAACGCAAGCGACTACGAAGAAAACGAAGAACAAACAACCCCGCAGACTCCACGCAACCCAACCCGCAAACCCTAAACCCTAAACCCTAAACCCTAAACCCTAAACCCTAAACCCTAAACCCTAAACCCTAAACCCTAAACCCTAAACCCTAAACCCTAAACCCAAAACCCAAAACCCAAAACCCAAAACCCAAAACCCTAAACCCTCAACAACTGGAGCAGTTCAGTTCAGAGGAAAGCTGCTTGCAACTCGGGGTCGAACAAGTCTTTCTTTTTGGTGGTTTCGACAGCAGCAACCAGCAGCAACTTGATGAGAACGTCGCAAGTGGAAAAGCGCCAGTTGTGGTCTCTGGCGCGTTCTGCGGAGAGAACAACGGGCCCGAAAAGGGATTTTGGAGTTTCTTTTTGCAAATAACTTTTCGAAACTTCTTTTTCCGAACTTTTTCCTCCGCTTTCCGAGTAGTTCAAGTTCAAGTTTCCCGCGGCGGCGCGGCGCGCCTCTTCCGCAGGCGCTTCGCGGGGCCTCCAGAAGAGCATTTCTTTCCGGTTTTCGTTTCTTTTTTCTTCTTTTTCTTCCTTTTTTTCTTCTTTTTCTTCCTTTTTTTCTTCTTTTTCTTCCTTTTTTTCTTTTTCTTTCCTCTTTTCCCGTTTTCTTCGCCGCTCCGCCGCGTCGTGCGCCCCGCACAGCTGCAGCGCGTGGGCCACGAACAGCAGCAAAAGCGAAGAAAGCCGCGGCGAAGCTCCTCTCAGTTCTTCCGCCTTTCTTTTCCTTTCAATTTCCGGCACTTCTTTCCCCAGGATCCCCCGCAGCTCCTCCTCACTGAAGCCCCCGCCCCCGCTGCTGCTGCTGCTGCTGCTGCTGCTGCTGCTGCTGCTGCTGCTGGAAACGCCCGGAATCCGGAACTGCTGCAGCGACTGGGAAGCGCCGCTAGCGGAAACTTCCTCGGAAACGATCTTCAGGAAGTGGTAAGCCACCAGCGCCAGCCGCAGCGCCCGCCACGCCAGGAAGAAGACCTGCGGACAGAACTTTCAACTCAGTTCGATTCAACTCCAAGTCCAAACAGGGGTGGCTACCTACCTAGCTAGCTAGCTACCTAGCTAGCTAGCTGGGCGTGGCTACCTAGCTAGCTAGCTAGCTAGCTAGCTAGCTAGCTAGCTAGGTTCCTGACCCTTGCCTCCATCATCGCCTCCACGGCAGACCAACTCGCCGTCTTTCCGTCGTGGCTCACAAACAGGAAAAAGGAAAAAGCGAAAAGTTCGTTTCTGAATTCAAATAAATTCAAACCCAAATAATTCAAATAATTAATTCAAACAATTAATTCGAATAATTAATTCAAATAATTAATTCGAATAATTAACTCAAATAATTCAAATAATTCATTAATTCAAATAAATTAAAATTAAAATAATTCAGGTAATTAATTCAAGTACTTTCAAGTTGAATTCAACTCCAGTAAAATCGACTCTAAATGGATCTCCTAAAAGCGAAAAGTTCATTTCTGAATTCAAATAAATGAATTCACAATTAAAATAATTCAAATGAATTAGAATTAAAAACTAACTCAAATAAATTCAAAATTAAAGACATTTCAAAATTAAAAATAATTCAAATAAATTCAAATTGAAATAAATAAAATTGACTCCGCATGGGAATGTTTCAAAAAAAGGAAATAAACTTTCAAGATAATATGGCATTTGTTTTCCACTTTAATTCAACTCTTGAACGAAATAGCATTTACTTTCTTTTTTTAATTTGGAACTAAAATGGTATTTACTTTCCACTTTAATTGAATTTGGCAGTCAGGTGGTGTTTATTTTAGTTAAATTTTGAAAAAAATGGCACTTATTTTAATTAAATTAAAAATAGCACTTATTTAAATTAAACTTTGGACTAAAATGGCATTTATTTAACCAAACTTTGGAGTAAAATGGCATTTATTTAAATAAACTTTGGAGTAAAATGGCATTTATTTAAATAAACTTTGGAGTAAAATGGCACTATTTAGTAAAATGGCAGTTATTTAAAGCAAACTTTGGAGCAAAATGGCATTCATTTGAAGTGGATTTGGCACTTCTCACTCGGCTCTGCTGATTTCCGAAAAGTTTTCGAAAAAAAGAAATAAAGAAAATAAATTCCGAATGTTCAAAAGACGAGAAGCGCTTTCCACGAAGTGCTGCCGCTGCAGCTGCCGGCAAAGCCCGACCTGCAGCAGCAAAACAAACAAACAATAAATAAATAAACAAACAAATAAATGAATAAATAAATAAATAAATAAATGAATAAATAAATAATAAATAAATGAATAAATAAATAATAAATAAATGAATAAATAAATAAGTGAATAAATAATAATAATAACTGATTGATGAATCAAGTTACTGGCGGGTTTATTTACTTCGTTGCCGCTAAATGGATGTAAAATCGAAAGAGCAATAAATGAAGAATGAAAAAATAAATAATAAAACAAAAAATCAATTTAATTAGATCTAATTAATTAGTCAAACATGATTAATTAAATTAAATTAAATTAAATCAATTAGGTTAATTCAATTAAATCAAATTGAATCAAATCATTCAACGTAATTAACTAACGGTTTAGAAATCAACTAACCAATTGACTAATGAATTTAATCAATTGAGCCCATTAATTAATTATGCTAGTTAATTAATTAAATCAGGTAATTAAATCAATTAAATCGATTAAAGTAAACTAACTAAATCAATTAAATCAATTAAATTAAATTAATTAAATCAATTGAATTAAATTAATTAAATCAATTAAATTAGATTAAATAATTAATTAAATTAATTAAATTGCATTTTCATAAAAGTCACTTTCTCCTCCAGACGCTCCAACGACTGCCGGCAGTCTTTCAGTTCGGCAACGAGAGCTCTTCGCTTTTCCTGAAGAGAAAATAAAAAATAAAAATAAAATAAAATAAAATAAATTAGAATCAAATTAAATTCAATTAATTAAATTAATCAAAATGAATTGAATTAAATTAATTAATTTATTTACGTTGATTAAATTAATTAAATTAAATTAATTTCATTTAATTAATTGAATTAAAACAAACCAGTAAATATTCAGTGAAGGGCAAAAGACGCAAAGCCGTTTCCCCCTGCGGCGTTTCGACGGAAAATCTGAAATTGAAAAAATGAAATTAAAATTAAATTAAACAAAATTAAATGAGTAATTAAACCCTAAACCCTAAACCCTAAACCCTAAACGAGGGTTTTGGGAAGAAAAAAGTGAAGGTTGAAATAAAAAAGAATAATATGAATTTGAAGTAAGTTGAAATAAAACTTTAAACTGAAATTGAATTTGCAGTTAGAGCTCATTATTTAAATTTGAATATCTATTTTACATTACAATTATTATTTTTAATTATACTTGTTTTAAATTATAATTATTATTTGAATTATAATTATTCTTTTAAATTATAATTATTATATTTGATTAAATGGCCTCACTGCTGCAATTCTTCTTCTTCCAAAAAGCACAAAAGCTGCTGCTGAAGACCTTCGCTTCCCTTTTTGCTGCTGCTGCTGCTGCTGCTGCTGATGCTGCTGCTGCTCATTCTTAAGCAGACTTTTGCTGCACTGACAAGCTCTTCTTTATTTAAATTTAAATTCGAATTTGAATTGCAGTTCGAGTTGCTATCCAAACTGGCATCCAACTCGGAATTACAGAGCTTCTTGCTGCTGCTGCTGCTGCTGCTGCAGCTGCTGCTGAAGCGAATCTCGCTTTTGAGCTGCTGCAGCACTCGAATGAGCTGCTGGACTTTAATGATTTTATTTTTTAAAACATCTTTTTGTTTTTTTTGTCTTTTGATTTCCTTGAAGAGGCAGAGAAAGCTGAGCAGCAGATCGCACTCGTAGCGCTTCTTGCTGCTGCTGCTGCAGCCAGCAGCAGCAGCAGCAGCAGCAGCAGCAGACCCTGCTGCTCCCCGTTTGCTGCAGATTCTTTGGATTTCTTTTTTAATTTCTTTGTTTTTGTCCTTTTCCGATTCTTCATAAAAGCAAGAAAGTCCAAAACACAAAAAACCCTCAGCAGCAGAACACAGCAAACGACGGCCTCCAGACTCCACTGCTGCTTGTCTTTGAACTGCAAACAAAATAAATTAAATTAATTAAATTAATTAAACTAAATTA